ACATCACATCTCCTCTTACTTCCCCCTCATACCAGACATGTTCATGTTTATTACTCACGTATTTTCATGGTTGAATAGCTCGTTGTCGGGCCTTCTACGGGGCAGAATGAGCAAGCCGTCCGTAGGTCGTGAGAACTCGAGCCACGTACCACTGACGGGTAGAGCAGAAGAATCAACTAGGTTGGTTGGTTGGGCGATTTTTGACAGTACCTGATCACGTTTAAAGATTAATCATTTTAACGGAGGGCCAGCAATATATGATGCACAGAATTAATGAGAAGGTGAAATGCAATAAAGCGTCAGGCTGGAGGGTGCAATAGTCCAACTAGAATGTATGCAAAGTGTAGGTACTGTGAAAGCAGTAAAAAACAAGAATGGCATAACAGTTTGGTGTTTTTGTTGTTGAAGTCCCGAGAAAAATGTGTCGGTGAATGAGATATTCATGTGAAGATAATTGCACAATGGGGCAACGGAGATATAACCGCCCCAGTTCCGAGGTTCCAATCAATACAGGTCTTTGAGGAGTAGATCCAATTCGGCAATCGGGAGAGCCTAAAACAAGGCTGCTCAGTTGGAATTATGGCCTCTGAGATGACTGAACCATTTGTCCATATGGAATTTTCGGGCGTCATGGTGGACGTGTAGCTAGGAGCTGAAGCTCAGATCTATCCAAAGTAGCCCTTGAGCACAGCCTTAATTGAAAAAAACGAAATTTGGCCGAATGACTCATACCATAAGTTGAAGACATGAATATGGAAAAGTTGGTTGGAAGGGATTCGTGAAATGGTCTCTTACAGTAATCTGAAGGAGAATTGCCGTAGAAGTAGAAACTGTGGTATTGTGTGAAGAAGAAGTCTTCGGCTAACCGTCCTGGGCTCCCGATGAAACTGTGCCATGTCTTCGTCTATACTGTATTGTATGCTTCATTTCGATGATGCCTGTCAAGGCGGTACAGACAAGAGCTAAGCACAACCCAACAGTCTTTACTCCGCGACAATCCACTTTCCGTTTTCAGAAATTGCTTCCAACCAACTTTACCTTCAAAATGAAAAGTCACAACATTTCCGTTCTTTCATCTAAAGCAGGTGCTCAACCACGGCACTACTAAATAGTTTCTTTCTCCTCAAAATGCTCATCAAAAAACCCCGTCGAGCGATCCTCTCTGAGCCTGAGGCAGGAGAAGTCTATTCTCTGTCACTTTGTTCTGGGCTTTATTTTCCCGCAGGTTAGCCATCTTCAGGATAGCACAGTCTTCGTGACAGGACCTCACGACCAAACCGAGAAAATCCGAGGCCAGAGAAGTTCGAGACAGCCGTGAGCTAAAAGGAGCCTCTCCTTAACCGACCAGCGGCCCCTCCACTTTCTTCTACCGACACGAAGAAGAAATTGGCATGTCGACCTCCCCAGAAAGCGAAAGTAGATTCGCCTTGATGTGCTGACACAGACCTTGGGACGAACTCTTCCGGTCGCAAAGTTGGAGGTCGAACCACGAACCCTCTCGTCACCACCAACATCAAGAGGCACTTCAGAAGCCGGTATCCCTCAATGCACATTGTCAGCATTCCACACACCACCGTTATCTGAACGACGGCCATACCGACCAGAGCCAGTCTTCTTCGGCCTCAGGCACGCCTGCAAATGGTACCAAGCGGAAAAACCGCCTCTTTCCGGGATAAAACATTGAACCGGGACATCTCATATCGAAAAAATAAGTAATCCTCCCGGTTGCTAGAGCAAGACACAACTCTGATTCATCGACAAACACACAACAGAGTGTGATATAGCAAAATGCCTAACCTTTCTTCAAATTCCCACCTACTCTGTGAACCAACGGTGCCCGTAGCAATGCGGCTTAGTGGTCAACTTGTCAAGATCATACGCTGCACTGTCATGGTTCAACTCACGCTGGGAGTATGCATACGGCCTAGGCATGCTAGAAACTGAAGTCCACCCGGGATGGGTCCAACTGTTGGGAAGCAAGGCTCCGTGAATTGCATGGGAAACGTCATGACTACTGGTATCATTGGGGGAAAATTCAACTAAACGAACGAAATATGGTAAATACACATCATAAAAGTATCCGATGACAGTCCCGAAAGGCTACTTATAAACAAAAAAGTTAATCTGGTCTTTTTCCTTCACCAAAGCAAACATGAGCTGAACTCGGGTCAGGAAAAAAATGAACCAGATTCAGCCTCGTGACCTCTGATTTGCCCAAATATTTTCAGCCGATGGACACGTTCGGGGGACCAGACAGAGACGCTTGAGTAGGCCGGAGCAACAGCTCAGCTCTATTCTAGAGATTTGGGAAAAATGATGGTCTTACAAGTGATCTCATGTCCCCGATCAGATCAATGCTCCTATCTTGAGAAGCCACTTTCGCTGACATTTCAGAGAGTATATGCGTTCAACCTCAATAAAGGCTTGTAAAAGTTTAATCGCTTACTCACGTGGCGACAACATGACAAATGCGAATTATCGATGCTAATCCCAGTTTTGGTCGATTAAGCTGACCGTCTGAGGGGATAAAGCGATCTTAAAAAGAGATCACGTGAGCCAAATTTCAATCGGACAACTCAACTCCACGAAGGATAGAATCAGTTTGGATTGGCCGCCAGTCAAAGAGCTCAAAAATGCCATTCATCGGCGGTGAGTTCAAGACGATGGTCACATTGTCTGGCTGCGAAACCCCTACTGACCATGTGACCCATTTGCACGAGCATAGTTTGGTGCGGTCATGTCGTCTTCGCTGGCTGGCCAGACTCGAATGTCTGAGTCTCGAGGCGAGGTCGAGTATTCGGTTCGTCGAGATGAGCAAAAGCGCATTTCCGGATATGGAAATTAATGTGAACGGGAATGGGAAAAGCAAACCCCCTCTTCCCCCAAAATCGTCACTAATGCCAGACTTCGAGGGCCTGCACAGCAAGGCCGGTAACTGAAGCTTTGGCGTAACGTCAAGCATGACAAAATTGGAGGGAGAAAGGTTAATCTTCATTACAATCTTGGCCAAAGACGACGCTTTAAAGCCAATATAAAAGATAAAAAGCATTTTAGCT